TATTTAAAATATTTAAAATATTTAAAATATTTAAAATATTTAAAATATTTAAAATATTTAAAATATTTAAAATATTTAAAATATTTTTAAAATATTTAAAATATTTGATAATGATGGATAATTACAAATTTACAAAACATTCGATGATGATAAATGATTGTTTTCTGCACAATCTTGCCTAATTTGCCCAATTTACAGAGATAAGATATGAAGACGTGTACGATGAACGATAATTCAGATAAGATATCAGATATGCTATTTGTATAGTTTAATGCGCACACATTCACAAGTTACGATTACTACGCATTGAACATTGAGTTAACACATTAACAAGCTGGATCATTACGCATTGAACATTGAGTCAACACATTCATACGTATTGAATTATTGAATCAACGCATTCATTCATACATTATGACCACTACACATTTGATTACATTGATTACATTAATGACATTGATTACGTTAATTGAATTGACTTTGATAAACATTAAAACATTAAATACGAAATACGAAATACAATATTAAAGGTTAAAATTAAATCTCTAACGATTTGTACGTATATGCGCATATATACGTATACTGTATATCAGATAACGATATATGTTATAAAACCATTTCAGGGTCTAATCATTTGATACAAGTAATTCGAATTGGAACAATAATCGCCTCATTTGCAATTCGTGAAGCAATCTGAAAATCATTAGCCATATATCATAATATATCATGTAACCTTAATGCAAGATTAATGTTTCAAGTTAGTATCTCTTTGTTTATTGTAACAATGCTCTTCCAACAATATTATTATTGTACAGAATATTCTATAACAATAACAATATATATATACAAATATTATGTATATTTGCCCACGAGTCGTTTAAATCTCATGATGATGTTTCAGGGTTAAAAACAGAATTCAATATTAGTATTCGAATTTCAGGGACACTGAAGATACCTTAAGAGGTAACACGTATTAGTACATAAAAGGTAAGATCCGATCACGTGAAAGTGTAAATGTTTATTTAAATGTTATTGATGTTAATAGCATTTAAACAAAATTAAACAATATACTTGACTAATACTTGACTTATTTGGATGAATCAATGATGGATTGGTTCATTCGACCATACGAGTTATGGAAATCTGCAAATAACCAGATAACAAAGGAAAAAGTTCCCTATCACCAGCCCAGCTAAGTATAAATTATTGGTAAATCGGGATCGTTATCAGAAAAGAGATTCCGTAAATCCGCGTGTATCGTTATTGTGATACAGCAAATTATAAATTGCCCGGAAATATGTATCTCAAGCGGAAATACTTATGGTGAATTATTATAAGTGCAACGTTAAAATAATTTGTGAATTTCCGAACAAGGAAATCTGTAATTTATTAATCCAGTAATAAAGATCCAGTAATAAAGATCCAGTAATAAAGATCCAGTAATAAAGATCTAGAATAAAGATCTAGAATAAAGGTTCTAGTTTTATGTATTTCAGATTGTTACAATTTCTGTTACTACCCTCTGTTATACCTTTTTCTTTAAATAATCTGTTATTTGTGTCGATCATTTGTAACCGCATTCATTGCTTTAACAAGGTACTCTATATTTATCTTTTAATAATTATATACAAATTAACAGGATTGAATATGCACACGTTCTTATTTGGAATACCCCGCATAGTTTAAAATTCATTGTCAGAGTAACCTTTGAGGATAACGGCAAGGTTCATCTTACCAAATTAAATTTAGTATTGAAAAGAATACTTACATAATTGTTTGTGTTCATCCAATTAATTACAAGACATCGTAACTTACTTTTTATAGTTTCGTACCTTCTTTTAAAAGGCCTTTTGGTACTTCAAAAATATCCCCTATTCTTTAAAGTCTACTTTTGTATCTTTGTAGTAAAGCTTGTAGACTTACCCGTTTTTATTGACATTTTATTTTTAATTTTTTTTTTTTTTTTTTTTTTTTTTTTTTTTTTTTACTTTAGTTTATTATTATTATTACTACCAAGTTTTGTTTTTCAATCTTTCTATGTCGTCTTGAAAACGACCTTCTTTTCGTCCTATTTTTTTATAGAATAAAATAATAGAAGAAAAAAAAAAAAATACTATATATTAATTAAAACTTTAGTACACTACTTTCCTTTTCACATTATTATTATTATTTATTACTTCTGCCATTATTACTACAACTATAGAGTTACAAAATGGGTTGTTGCATGAGTGCAGAGGATCAAGAAGGGAAGAGGAAAAACGATGAGATCGATAATCAGCTTAAGAGAGACAAGATGTTAATGCGAAATGAAATTAAAATGCTCCTATTAGGTAAGGCTTAAAGAGTCTTGAAATCGTGGCGTTGTACACTAGTTGGAATCAAAGTATTCTTGTATACTATCTTAGTGTTAATACTGTCAATATTGAACAACCTTATTAATTTTATTAATTAACAACCATTAATTAATAGGTGCTGGAGAGTCAGGAAAATCGACTATTCTTAAACAAATGAAACTTATTCATGATGGTGGTTATTCTCCTGAAGAAAGAGAGTCATTTAAAGAAATAATCTTTTCCAATACTGTCCAATCTATGCGAGTCATATTGGAAGCTATGGAATTGATGAACATTCAATTTCGCAGTGAGGATGCCAAGAAACAATCAATGATAATTCTTAATATGCCAAATCAAATAGAAGGTGATCATTTACCTTCTAATGTTTCGAATGCTATCAAAATTCTATGGGCCGATGGTGGTGTACAGGAATGTTTCAGTCGATCCAGGGAATATCAGTTAAATGATTCTGCTAAATAGTAGGTTTTTGTTTTAACCTTTATCTACAGAGTTTGTTGTAAGTGGGAATGGAATTTCTTAATTAAAGTTTTAAGAATATAATTAGGATAATTAGAATTGAGTTTTAGAATAGAATTAGAATTTTAGGGTGGAATACTCATAATTTTAAATTTAAAAAGTTTCAAATTCACTCTCGCTTACAACATATTTACAACATATTTACAACATATTTACAACATATTTACAACATATTTGCAACATATTTGCAACATATATTTGTTTTCTATTAATGCAGTAATAATGTAATTAATAACGCTTTTCATTTTTATCTAGTTACTTTGATTCAATTGATCGAATTTCTCAGACTGACTATTTCCCAACTAATCAAGATGTGCTACGATCGCGTGTAAAGACCACTGGTATTACTGAAACTACATTTTTCATTGGCGAATTAACTTACCGAATGTTTGATGTTGGTGGGCAGCGTTCGGAACGTAAGAAATGGATTCATTGTTTTGAGAACGTAACTGCTATAGTGTTCTTGGTTGCCATCTCTGAATATGATCAATTGTTACTTGAAGATGAGACTGTGGTATGTATTATAACTTGATTATAACTTGATTTATTTATTTCTTAATTTTTAATCGAAATGCATCATTGAAATGTATTAATTTATTGATAAATTTTAATTATAGAATCGTATGCAAGAAGCTTTAACACTTTTTGATTCAATCTGTAATTCACGATGGTTCGTGAAAACCTCAATAATCCTATTTTTGAACAAAATCGATCGGTTCCAGGAAAAATTACCAATTTCTCCAATGGGCAATTACTTCCCTGATTATGATGGCGGTGATGATTATGACGCTGCTTGTGATTATATACTTAATAGATTTGTGTCGCTGAACCAAAGTGATGCTAAACAAATTTATACACATTTCACTTGTGCCACTGATACTCAACAAATAAAGTTTGTCATGGCTGCTGTTAACGACATTATTATTCAAACTAATTTAAGAGAAGTTGGATTATTATAATTACCATTTTTCAAAAAAAAAAAAGGAAAAAAAAATTAAGGTTGTCATTAAAGTACCATTATTATTTTATTCTACGTCAAATCATTAACTTACGATATTACAAAACTTTGTATTAATATTTTCTTTTTCTTTTTTTTTTTTTTTAAACAAGAAAATTATTTATTCCCTTTTAATTCTTTCTTTTTTTTTTTAATACATTGATGAATTTTTATTTTCGCAACATTTCTTTAATCCTTTTACCTAAGCTTTGATATATGCATATTTTTGTATTATTATTTATTATTTATTAAAGTGTAAAGTGTGCAAAACAATATACAAATCGAAAATTTCAAGGTTTTTTAGTGTGTGATTTTTTTAATTTATCATCATTGATTCGGCGTTAAAAATCGTACTAACTAGTTCTTTTCGTAGGTTTCACAAGATGATCTAAAAATTAATTTCTGAATTTTCTTTGTTTGTTATTTGTTTACGTATCCTATTGAAACCTCCCGATTGGTTAATGTTTCAAAAATAGTAACTTTATTAATTATTCGTCTATTACGTCTATTACGTAATGCCATTAATATTCTTTAAAGTCTCTTCGTGTGAAAATATCAAATTTATATTTTTGACTATCTATACTTGATTCATTATAAGAAAATTTACTATCTACGAATTTATATGAATCGACATAAATAACTACGTAAATATCGACGTAGCAAATGTGCGCCAATCTACATACTCTACATACTTACGTAAGTATCTGTTGATACGTACAGTACGGCTATGAATCGACTTATCATGCTATCTGTTATCATGTTATCTGTTATGTAACTAGAGATGCTGGTGAAACTGGTGAAATTCTTGGTGAATGGTGGTGAAACTGGTGAAACTTAATATAACAGCCAATTAGATTTTAGATAGTCACCAGTTTCACCAGCATCATTTAGTTTCACCAGCAACCCTAGTACCTACCTATACAGTACAATATTGTTATAAGCACTAATGCTACTAATGCTGCATGAACGATCAATAATTGTTAAACTAAACCAATAAGAAACCAATGCAATTGTCTAAAAATAATTATTTTTCATGTATCTTGCAGACCTTTAAATAAAGTAACCAATTTGGATAATAAATTATTAACAATTATTTACTTTTACATACGTACGTACGTATAATAAAAAACCATTATGACTAAATACAAATTAGTTTAATAAGAAAAACATATAACAAATAATTATACAAATTATGTAACGGCAATATAATGAAAAAATGTGATACACTTTACATATCGATATAGATATCGATATGGGGTCTTTGCCTTGAAAATCAAATATCGATATCAGATATGGGACATATGATTTACTATGTCCCATAACTTGATTTTCAAGGCAAAGACCCTATATGGATTAATTGAAATAATACTATCACTATTCTTCTAGAAAATTCATCAGATATATGTAAACACTTAAAAAAAAAAAAAAAAGATATTCTCAGATCGGCGAGCATGAACTTAAAAATTTTTAAAACAGTAAGTAATATGATTTCCGTAACTACAGAATAATCACGATCAAAATCACGATAAATCAAGATTTCACGTGACTGAAAGTATTTATATGTGTTTACCGTTTGTTGTTTAGTTCACTCTCCCTTTTTCTTTTACGCGTTTACAAGTTTTGATCGATCAAAATGAGCAATTCTTCTGGTACGAAACGTCGTCGCGGAACTTCTGTAGTTCTCGCTCAAGAAACTACAACCTCTACTACAACGCCTTCTCGGGCTTCCCCTCGAGCCACTTCTTCTCGAGTCATTCCTCAAAGAACTATTGTTACTCGTTCTGCTACTCGGGCTGCTCAAGCTGCTGCTGCTAAAGCTACTGCTTCTCAAGCTTCTTCCTCTTCTCAAGCTTCCTCCTCTTCCCAAGCTTCTTCTTCTTCTCAAGCTTCTTCTTCTTCTTCTCAAACCACTGCTGTTTCTGCTGTTACTACACGTGGAAGCGCTTCTAAACAAACAGGTAGGATTTAGTCAATTCTTATTATTGTTTATTTATTATTATTTAATATTAATTTATGATTTTATAACGCGTTTCAATTTAGCTCCTGTTGCTAATAAGGGGAAAACAAAGGTCGTAGTCAGTAATAGCTCTGCTTCTTCTTCTACTAGTAAAGGAAAAGGAAAAAGGAAGGCTGTAAATGATGATAGTTCGGTTTCTTCTTCTAACAAAGGAAAAGCAAGAGCTGTAGAAGTCGTTAATACTGTTTCTACTGATACCATCAATACTACTACTCCTATTATTACTCTTGATACTGCTATGGATATTACTATGGATACTACTACCACCACCATTACTCTTTCTAACGGCGAGATTCCAATGGATATAGATGAAATTGATGATGATGATATGAGTTCTTCAGCTTCTTCCTCCTTCTCCTCTTCCTCCTCCTCCTCCTCCTCTTCTTCTTCTTCTAGTAAAGGGAAAGAAAAGGCTATAGACAACAATAGTTCAACTTCTTCTAATAATAAAGGCAAAAGGAAAGCCGAAGATAGTGGCGAAGAAAATTCAAGTTCGAAAAAGACAAAGATCGAAGATAGTAGCGAAGGAACTTCTTCAAAACCAAAAAAGAAAAAGAAGGAAAAGAAGGCCCGTAATAAAGTCAAGGAAAAACGACAGGCACGCGTTCGAACCATCTGTTCAAAAGTATGTCTTTTTGGATAATTATTTTTAATCATTCTTAATTAGTTAGTTGTTCTATTTATTAATGAGTCTATGGGTTTTTAGAAAATCAAGGACCGTATTAACCGTGCCAGTTCTCAGCGTATGTATTTGATCGACAGAAAAGAAGTAGAGGATTTAAAAAAAGAATTTACTGTTTTAGGATCAACTGGCAATGTACGCTTTTGTCAATGACTTTTTCCGATTCAAATGTCGATCGTAGAATATTAAAAAGATTATTATTCATATTAAATTAGGTCTATACCGTTACTATTACTCACATTCCCAATTGTACTTGCCCAGATTATCAAGGAGGTATACAATTAATTTAATCAATTTTTTTCTATTTACTTATTATTTATCGCTATTAACTTGTAATTAATTAAAAAATTTTGTTATAGGATTTTTATGCAAACACATTGTATATGTTATAACTAATATTATTCGTCCTTTTTTTTTCTATACATAATTGTAAATTCTAATGCTTTAAACAATTACGATCTAGATGTTTGTGTACATTAAAGTCTTACGTGTTAACCCAAATAGCCAACTCATTTATCAAAGAGCGCTCATATCCAAGGAACTTAAAGTGATATTCTCAAGAGCTCCCGATCTCGGAACTTTGGTACATTGCCAATATATATATATTTATTTTTGATTCGAATAATCGTTTACAAATTTCATTTTAAATTCTTAGGCAAGCTATAGGGTTCGTTCGTTATATCATGTGATTTCTAAGGGAAGAAACGGATCTGAAGGTGGCGTAAGACGTCGTCTTATTGAAGGAGATTGTCCAATCTGGTATTGTTTACATTATATACGTCTGATTTTTTTTTTAAAAAAAATCGGTATCCTAAGCTTTATAAAATGTGTTCTAGTTGCGATCCTTTGAGACCCGAACACAAGGATCAGATCGTCTGGTGTCAAAATGGTTGTGGAAACAATATTCATAAAGAATGCTTTGATCAATGGAAGGGATCGAGAATTTATACAAGGGTATGTCCTAATGTGTTAATTTATTAATATTTGTGTCAATGTTATGAATAAAATTAATTTTTAATTATATATTAGGTTACTTGTGTTTATTGTCGTGTGGAATGGCACGAACATGTATTGGAAAGATACACAGAAGACGGATACCTCAATCTCGGTCAATTTCAAGCAGGCCTAGGTACAGGCTCAGGCGGTGTAGGCACGCCAAGAACTAGTAGAGGTATATTAATATTTTTAAAAAAATTTTGTTTTTTGTTACATAAATGTCAACTTCTGTTCTAATGTATTTATAAAATTATGCACATGTATAGCGGCGGCAGCAGCAGGATCGAGTTCGACCCCCGCATCTACATAATCACACGATTGGCTTACATATTGTTATTCCAGTATTCGTAGAAATTATGTAAATCTTATTACGTTTTGCACAATGACCTAGATTAGAGATTGTTAACTTTTATTATATCTTCATGCAGTTGTTACGTACTACATTTTTCTTATAGATTCTTACTGTTAAAGATCGTTGCATCATTTGTATATACTTTTTTCTTTGCATTTATAGAGGATTTGTATAAAAGGTTGCTTATTGCAGGTCATTAAGATTTCATGAAACTTGACAATGAAACGTTAGATTAAAATAGAATAAACTTGCTTTTTCACTGTAAAAATTTTTTTTTTTTTTTAACATTAAATTGCGTGTATGTATATATTAGGAATTAATTATTGACTTAGCAATCGATTTATATTTCGAAGACGTTTAAACAACCTAAATAACGAAATACATTTAGTATTAGCGAGATTATAATCTGATGCAGATATTAGTTTGATTACAAACACAATCGCATCATAGAAATGTTACCCTAAATTCTAACTATATACTAAACATGACTATTAACATGGTACTCCCAAATATCAGAACGACCAAAAACAACGACACCACGACTTCAATAACGACGATTCCAGTGACAAAGAACGATTATGGTAATGACGACGCCGAAAGCTATGGCACGATGACACCAAAAGTGGACAAAATTTTTGTACAACGCAATTAACTACTGCATGGAAAGAAATAGTACATGGGTCAGAACAAAAAAAATCATTGATGATCACGGTTTATATATCCTATAGCGATAGTGCAAAAAAATTATTAATCCCTATATTTCTATTTATAGATATTTGTCCCTTATTGCAGTTAATACGTATCTGCTACGTATAACGAATTAAAAGATTCAGAACAAAGGATTTGCATTCATTTAATAAATTTGCTATATTGGTTCATCAATCCTAATTATTTTTTTTTATAAAGTAACGTCATGCAATGTATTTATATAGGCTTATAAATCAAAAACAAAGGTTGGTTATATAAAAAAAAAAAAAATCCAGTTAAATTGAAAGTCGTGTAACATTATTCTAAGTTTAGAGGTACGTACGTAAAAAAAATTTCTACGTATACAGATATAGCGATTAATGTTATTGCTTAATAAGCATAAAAAGTATTGCAATAATTAATTTTCTTTATTATATGTTTGTACATACGACATTGTAAATGTGCTCGAGACTCGGGACTATTCTATACCAAAATTTTTTTTTTTTTAAAAAAAAGCAAAATGTAACTTTGAATAGTTTATCGAAACTATTTCTTCAAATTTATAACAGTTTTCATTTTTTGTAAATAAATTTTGTTTTATAAACATTACCAAAAATTGCAATGCTAAAATTTTTCAAGTATGAACTTACTGATTTCTAAACGTATAGGTTATGTGCATCTTCAAATTAAAATATACTGGAGTTTAACTCAAAAAAGAAATCAATATATATATATATATATATATATATTGGGAACTCCTATTTCCACCATGAAAATTTCCATGCTTTTCACATGACTTTCAGCTACGTAAGCATGATTTCATGGTGGTTCTCTAAAACGTATGTTATTTTCAAATTGAAAAAATGACATTCGTCAATTAATAATTGTGGCGGCTTATGCTGAGATTTGGGGTTCTCATTTAAATCCCTAACAGCTACTAAAATCCACATATCTTTTTTATTATAAATACTAACCCTAATTTCTAACCTAACCATAAAAACAAAGGATTACAAAAAAGGCCCAAAAATTTTTGTAATTTTGATAATAAAATAAGTCAAATTCCCAGCATAAGCCAATCTCAGCATAAGCTGCCACAATAATTGACATAAATTGAGAAATGACGCATAACACTTCCACAATTTAATGTAATTTATTATGACAGTATGCTCGTTATGTTCATGTAGCTGAAAGTTATATGGAGCATGGTGGAAATAGCAAAGTCTATGGTGGAAATAGGCGTTCCCTACATATATATATTTTTTAAGGCTTTAAAAGCAAGACCATATCCTCTGTAACTTTATTAATGTTTATATTTATAGATATATTTATTATAATATAATACAATTAAACAATTATAAGAGAGGAAGTTCAGACTACTTTATCTGTAACCTAAACTTTATCTAGTAAAGTCTAGTTTATTTTAGATCTAACTAGAATTTTTTTGTACTTTTAACTATTTTATTAGTATTTTATATATATTTTTTATATTATTTATAAGCCACAATATACTTCCAAATAGATATTACAACTAAGGCTCTGTAATAGTATTATTTTCTAATTTGGTAGTAGACATTATTAGTATTTTTTTTAAATACTAGACTCATTAGTTTCTTTTGTTTTTATCTACGAATATTTTTTTTAAATTTTTTTTTTTTCTTCAAGATACTAGTCTTTATTGTTTTTATAATTATTTATTTGTATTTGTATATTGTGTTTTTATTTTCAAGTAAAAACTTCTGTAGTTGGTTAGGTATAGACTATATTGTATAATAATTTCTAAATTACTATATTTCTAACAAGATTTTGTAATATTTAATTATTTCTAACTTGAGTATTTTAACTTGATTAGTATTCTAAAATTAGTATTTTTATAATATTATTATATCTGTTTTGTATATTAGTATTATTAACTTAGCAAACTTTTTCTGTTAATTATCAAAACACAAATTTTTAAAAATAAAAATTAACAAAAAATCACAAAAAATTCTTAAAACTCACTAAGAAACCAAATTCAGAGCTTTAAGTAAAGAAAAAAAAGACCTCAAAAAACACTTAATCTTTTAAGAGACTTGAGTAAAAAAAAACAAAAGCAGCAAAAAAATAAAAGAAATTGTAAAAAATCATTGATATTTTTTATACTTTGCGAATTTTTAGAAAATTAGACTTGACTCTAAATCACAGATTTGTTTTGGTGATATAAAAATCACAACACATAATAAAAAATAAACAAAGAAAATATGCCAAAAATCATATAATGAAAGTAAAAAACAATCACAACAAACAACAACAATTAACAATAATAGAAGTCATATAAAACAAAAATTAGCAAAACATTCTGAAAAGAAATATGTTACACTAGAAGAAGTAAAAGCAATATTAAAGAAATTTAGAATATAATAACAACAATAACTAATGAAAAGATAGATACTCTTATAGAATAAATATTAGCAGAATATGCTAGAAAAAAACTTATTACAGAAAAAAAACTAAGACACAAATAAAAGAGCTTTATAAAGAATTATAGTAATATAATAGAAATGAATCAGAATATACAGAACTTATACTTATAAAAAGAAACCACTATTGTTTTTACAAAGCAATATAAAAAAGAAAAAACCTAGTTAGTTATATTATATATAAAGAAATAAATAGTATAATGGTAAAATTAAATATAATAGACAAAATAAAATAGTTATTAAAAAACAAGAAAGAACAAAATACTAAAATAAAGTCAAAATTAGAATCAGATTGAAGCAAAAGACTTCAAAGTAAAAAAAAATAGACAAAGACAGTACAATAAACCAGCTCTAAAGAATTTATTACAATAATTTAAAAAATCTGTCAAAATCATTATAACAAACCAATAAAAAATAAAAAAAAAGCAAAAAAGAAAAGAAAAAGATACAAGTTCAGCAAAAAAAAAGCAAGTTGTAAAAATAAAGTCAAAACTAGAAATAGAATAGAGCAAAAAACTTTAAGAACAAAAAAAAAAGTTTAACAAAAATAGTATAACAAAACAACTCCAAAAACTTTAGTAAAAAAATTCAAAGAATTGATTAAAATAGTTGTAGTAACCTAGTATAAGAAAAAGAAAAAGCCAAGAAAGAGAACTACAGGTTAAAACAAAAAAAATCTCACAGAAGCAAAAATCTTAAACAAAATTCAAGAAGAATCAAGACCTAAACTTTTAGTAATAACCCCAAAAGATTAGATAATAGAAATAATATACCAAGTAAGCAATAAAGACTCACAAATCAACAAAAAAAACTAGAAAAAGAAGAAAAAAAAGCTATTTGTAGATTAGATACTTTGGTCAAGGTTCAAATAGTATGTAGATACAAACTTAATTCAAGATATTTTAGCAATAAAATCAAAGAGTTAAAAATTAAAAAAAAAAAAAAAACCATTATTAAAGATAGTAGAAAGAATCCTAGTAGAATTGTTTAAAAACTGAAAAGTTTTTATTAAAATAGAAAAAAAGTTCTTAAAAAAAAACTGATTTACAAAAAGAAAAAAAAAAATAGTTTGAATGAACTAATCAAAAAACAAAAAGACTAAAAAAAACTCAAAACAAATATTAAAAGAAAAGGCCTACAAAAGAAGTCTTCTAAAAAAACCTATTAGACAAGTTCTCTAGAAGAAGAAAATAGTTAGGGTGCTAATATTTATTAGGTAATATTTTAGGGGATGGGGGTAAAGCCAAACCTTATCTCAATATAATACTAAAATTTAATTGGTTAATAAAAATATTATCTAAGGGAGGGGTAGAGCTCTATAGTAAATGAATATTAGGTAATAAATATTAGAGCTCTTACAGAACCATAGAACAGAAGAAAGAATATAAAGAGAAAAATTTGAAAAAAACTTCTGAAAGCTAGGTTCTCAATTAGAAAGAACCAAATAACTAGAAGAAATGAAAATAAAAATACAAGTATGGTTAAAAGAATTTTAGCAAGAACCTTTTAGTAAAAGATAATATAAAATTAAGTATTATATAAAATTAAATTAGATTACTATTCTAAAGAGGAGAATAGTTTAGAAGAGAAAAATTGCTAATTTAATATAGATAAAAATTCTTTTAAACTAAAACTATCTTGCTATAATTTCACTAACTAGCTTGATATAGGCTCTTGAGACAAACTGTACTTGGGTATTTATAGAGAAAGCTAAGTAATATCAGATCTACAGTTTAAATAATTTAAAATATATCTATATATTTGCTTTGATTTAATAAAAATACTAGTAAGGCTACCAATACAAGAAAAAAAGTA